AAAAAAAAAACCCTGGGTCGGGCATGGCACTCAGGCTCCATTACAGCACACAGACTAGGGTGGAATTCCCTCTGGCCCAGAAGGTGGGTGAGAGTGAGGAATGGCTGCACTTCCATTCTCCAAGAGGGTGGTAAGGTATGAAAGTAACAAGGGGAATATCATACCTTTCCAGTTGTTCATGTCTGGAATGTCCATATGGTTCCAGCAAGTGGATCCTATTCTTAGGTCCCTGGAATCTGAGAGAATGCTGTCACTTTAAATATCCAAAATGATCTAACTGCTTGTAAATATTCAAAATGACTGCACCCTCTGGACAGCCGAGTCCACTGCTCAGCTCATCTCCCTCTTTGCTGCTTCCCCTTTTATTCACCAGCCACCAGTGCAATCTTCCATGTAGCCCCTGGTTAGCAGGGTCGATTTTTAGGTTAATTCATAGGTCCTAACACCACTTGACAATATCCAAGCTGTCCATGCCGTCAGTATCACTGACAGACCTCAGCTCTGTATGTCTCCTTTTTCAGTGATTTCATGCAGGTTCTTAGTCCACTTCTGTATCTTTCCTTTCTAAGGTCTGGGCTCCAGGATTATCTTCTGTGTCTGTGTTAATTGATTCCCCTTTTCTTTGATGAAGGGGGTCTGTGTAGTTTTTCTGCCTATTCTGCTATCTTACTGGAACTCCTGCCTGTTGTTTAAAAGACAGCTACTCTCAGGACTGTGCCATTTTTCTTGTTTACCTTGGGTTTCTCAGCCTTACTAGTCAGCAGCTGTCTGAGTTAAGAGAAGCCTCCAGCTTCAGTGGGCCAGGAGCAAGAGGCAGAGCTGAAGCCCAAGGTTGAGGGGCTTTCACCCAGCACCAAGAGCTGGCACTTTGGACTCGGACTTCTAAGCTGCTAAAGTGTAAAACAATAAATCCCTGTTTGTTACAGCCATTTCCACTTGTGGTATGCCTGTAATAGCAACACTAGAGAACCAAAACAATGGGGTTATGAGGTTTCCTTTAAAAATACATTACATGTATTTTTTAAAAAAATCCATTATTTGTGACTGTATTGTAGTCTAGAATTGCAGATATTTTATGTTTAAAAAATAAGACAGAATTAAGAGAAAATGCTATTTGAAGGGACACTGCTTACTAGTAAGATTTCTTATAATTAAAAGCATCATGTTCTTAAAACTGTGTGGGTGTCCTTTATAAGAATACCTCAGAAGCAGAACTGTTTAAAAAAATTAATTTGTTTTTATTGTGATTTGGATGAAAGTTTACACAACAATTTGGTTTTCCATTCAATAATCCATATACATTCTGTTTTGTGACATTTAACTGTAACCCTCACACTGTAACAATATTCTTCCCACTTCCTCCTACCATCTACCTCTTCCCTTTATTCTTCCTTCCCATCCTGTGCCACCTTCCTAGCTCTATCCCTGAGCAAATGCTGTCTTGATCTCATACGCTTGATTGGTGTAATGAGTGTATACCCTCCTGATGTTACTGCTCACCTTAAGTATCTATCATTTGACTTTCATTTGAGTTATGAGGGTTAAGTTCAGTTCCTAGCTTGAAGGATGTCTAAGGATTAAAGTCTCAGGGCTTCCATCAGTCTTCATTATACTACTAAGCTTGGTCTTTTTTTTTTTTTTTTT